TGGGTGGTATGAATAACTGAGGCTATCCTGTTCGCTGGCACTGATATAACGTGTCAACATGCGAGATTGATGATACCCTGCGAGGACAGAGGTTTTTCCACATTTCAATTTCACCGGTATAGAATCTGGCTCGAGGTCGATTTATCATGAGCATTTACTCAACAGCAGTGGGTTATTGGTTAGCAACCGCTTACTGTCTCTACTTTTGGCTTTTGACCTCTTTTTTCTTGTTCTTTTTTTGTTTTGCTTTTCTGAAATCCCGGGGTTTTGTACAGGGACCAGGCATCGTGGAGATTGGAGAGGAAGGCGTTATTTTGTTTTGCTCACACCCTTTTTTTTTTTCTTTTCTTCTTTTCAATTGTACTATTTTGGCGCGGCTTTTGGTGGGAACCCTGGGATTTATCAAACTCGATACCATTCTGTACAGGAGTTATTTTGATATCACGACGCGACTATGGGGTTTGGATTACAAATTGCATTGTGGAAATACCTTGAATTTGATAGCACAAAATGCAATAACTGGCTTCTGTTACTGTTCTTTAGATTCGTTCGTCTTGTTTTGGCTGCTAGCCTCGACTATAGCTTGAGTGTGCTCGATCCTATGTCTACTCGGAGATACATTGGGATGATTCCAGCATCGTTCTAAGAACATCTCGAATAGTGTTACAACATGATGAAGGACTCAATGTTGCTTTGAATCAAATGGTATACACCTAAAAGGAGCATCTAAAAGACCAACAAAAAGACATGGCAAGGCCGCACAAGCTGTCGGCTATTCTTTCTTGTATCTAACTATTAACAAAAAGTTCGAATACTTAAGTAGGGAAAGGATACGACGAAGCACAATCGAAAGTAATAAAATTCATTTTATATAAACAAAGTCTACGAATAAATACGAGATGTTCCAGATCTTCAATGGATGTTTGACACCTCGGGCGAACCGTAGGACAAAAATCTAGTACTCACTGGCTAGGGAGATAAATCTCCATTTCGATATAAGCACTTCTTCGGCGCGACCGCGGCCATGAGAGGGCCGGATCGCAATTTGACATCCGTGCTATAAGCTGCAAAGCTGTGGAAGAGGGGAGGGGAAAGGCACAGGGCACAGGATAATGATTTGTAAGTATTCAATTAGATACATAAGGTATCAAAGCTATGAGAAAAGGGGATGTCGAAAGACATCGTCAGTATGTATCAAGCAAATAAGACCAGCCAGTGGTCATCACTTCCTTTCCTGAGACTGTTCTCTGGTCAATCGGTACTCAGACTGTTGAGCTTGATATTTTTGAAACATTCATGGAGAAGTTCATGTCAATAGAAATGGTGATCATCATAGTAAGGAGAGACCAGAGCTGTCTCATGAGATAGAAGGGGTATATAGAAGCAAAGCTAAAGCCATTGATCAAAGGAAGGCATTAATCTCTTGAGCAATGACTTTGCAAAGCATATTGTTGTTGTGTCGAGTGGCAGACAAAAGATGTCAGATTTTATGTGAAGAAGCTGTTGAAAATTGGTGCGCCGAGTTTTTATATCGTGTGATTACATAACTAATATGTCAGCAGAGGCGGTTGATGACTAAGCGTGCACCCGATGGATGGATCGTGAAAGGTATCAACAGCCAAACCCAAGGGTATAGCTTATACATACATAGAAGAGAACGCCGTTTTCTTCTATATTCTCACTACAACACCGACCAGAGGGGAAATATCTACAAAAAATGATATCCAAAAAAAGACCGTGAAAATGCCTACCAAAAGGACGTCACAAGGCCATTGCACATTTCACGGCATTCATGTGGGATTCTGATATCTGATGACTTTGCAAGTGATATCACCTGATAAAAAGGACGAGAGTGGATAGAATGGGCGGGGTCTAGTTTATAAGACTAGCCTGTTGGACTTTTGTTTTAGGGTTTAGTAAAGTACACTCAAGAATAGCCATGAGATCACCAATGATATGGTAGAAGCACACGAAATTAAACAATTCGGACCAACAGGGTTAAAGCAAGGCGGGAAATCAGGCACCAAAATATATGAACTTCTGCTGTGAGGACCACTTTGTGACTTCCCCGGAGCCTAAACTCGAAGCTAGGGATAATGATCGTCGCGCATCACCCGAGGACCAAGTAAGCCGAGCGAATAGGAAGACTTGGAGATCTTCATTATTCCCACTGATAACCACAGAAGAGGCTAATAATATTGACGTTGCATCGCAGACACAAGAGACAATCACCCCCAGAAAATATCTCATACTAAAGTACAGCTCGAGCTCAGAGTCTAGAACCAACTTCATTAACGCTCAAGTATCACATTCCAATGCATGTACATCGTACCCGTGGATCCTCTGCTCACTTAGTTGGTGTAGATCGGTACAGCGTGTATGCAGGGCCAATCGAAAAAGTGTGGTCGCATATAAACGCCAAGCGAGATTGACATTGCATCAGCACCGGTTTGACTCTGAGGCTGGAAGGTTTATAGCTATGCTGTTCCAAACTTTGTGTAATGTCTCACCCTACTACGGAGTACATTTACCTTGATGTCTAAGTCTACGCGCACAGACATACCGAGGCGGTCGACGTGTGTGTTGATGGTCGTCATCTAAGTGGCCGGGGTAGTTTTCCCCTGGAATGTGATAAGCGACTAGATAGGGTACATAGTACATTGATAATGCGTTCGTTTCATCTGATACTAAATTGGGAAAGTGAACGGACGAAAGGAAAGGAAAGAAAACACAAAAAAAAAAAAAAAACAAAACATTTCGTGATAGCTGCAGTCATATTAGATTGAACACGAAACAGTGGGAAACGGTTCACCGATCGTTCGGCGCACGCAATCTAGAAATGGAGCAAATATTTATGGGAAATCAAAAAAATAACTACAGGATCAATAGCCTAGCGGATAGGCGGATGTAACTCCAGAGGTTAATCCTTATAGGTACTATTATGCATTCGTAAAAGGAAAATCAAGGAACGAAAACCAATAGAGTGGAAAGGCGGTTGGATATCATTCCCGCATATCATGTCATTGGGCCCGGACTCCCCCATTCCCGATTTGTACGGCGTGGCATATACATAGCGCGGTGTAACAGTATACTAGGTATATGCAGAGCATGGGCGTCGGGCTAATTTAACGTCGTGCCTAGGTAATCACTTCACCGCACAATGTGCCAAACATCGGTGTGGCAGTGGACTCTCGTCTACTCCGTATTTGGAATGGGGAATTTGGAATCTGAGATTGAGTTTGGGGGGCCAGTTGGGGAATACAGTTTGGAGTTAGTGGAATATCTCTGACAATCGGAAAATAAGTGAGGTCAACACCGTTGGATGTTGTACTTTGGAAAGTAATAGATAAGACCGAAGAATGTATATGCCGGTAGTGGATGTGCAGGATAAAAAGCCCTTCACCCTGCGTTGGACTTTTGGGGAACGGTAAGATATTCCATGCACGACGATCATTAGTGGAAAAAGAAAATATGCCTTTCATCCGAAAGGTGATGGGACCTTTGTCATAGGACATTGATCTCTGTTCTTTTGCTCGGAAAGTGCTAATGCTAATACCCAAGGAATTGGGAATGAGGAATGGGGGAGTGACGCATGAACACCCACGGTGGCAAGAGTCTAGGCACGCAGGAGCGCGGCTCTTGACCGTGTCCTTGGTCATGCAGCATGTACAATGTAGTAGGTTGAAGTTTTTTTTTTTTTTTTTTTTTTTTTCTCATTCCCATCTCGTTTTCGTACTTGCTTTTTGGCGTGCTATACTTAGAACTGCGTTGGATTTTTTTTTTTTCTTCTAAGGGCCAAGTCTTCACAGAGGACGGGTGAATGGGGCTCCACATGGCTGTCTGATACATGCTACTAGCGATATTGGTTGCGCTGTCGAAGGTGGCGTGGGTCATGGAGTGGAGTATCAGCTCGCCCATTGTGATTTGCAGTACTCCGTAGTGTTGCAGTGCGCATTCTGGGCACTGTGTTCCACATAACGAATACAGTAGTATTCTGATAGTGGGCAAACGATGCCTGTAGCCGCGGTGAAGAGACGATGACATGGCCATTCTGAAACGGGATGATGGGACGAACCGTTTAGGAGTGGAATGTGGAGAGTTCCGAAGAGAGACGAGTAGAAAGTACAGCTCGATGTCTGCAAGAGGCCCGATTTGTTCGACATTTGATCCACTCAATCGACCAGATAGATCGGTTTGGAGAGATCCAGGAACTAAAGATCTAGAGCCCCGAGGATTGTGATGTGTAACATTTGGGGGGGCATGTCTCAACTCGCCGGAGATCAGAAGCCGTGCGAGAGGCGAAGTTCGAAGGTTGTAACACAAGTTCAGCCCAAGGTGTTGGTAAGTTCTGAAAATAAGGGGGTAGTATACAGGAGAGGGCTGAGGCAATAGTGATGCAGTGCAACAATGTAGATCTCGATTTTGGATTTTTTGTGTATATTATGCCAGTCGGTGATAATAGGGTAGTAGTACAGGCGACAAAGAATAAAAAAAAAGGAATAAAACAACAACACGTTGTAGCAGATTGTACACGATCGCCCCCCTAGGGCTCCCTCCCAACCGATTATCCCAAGTTGGCGATCCTCCCCAAACCAGAAAAGAAAAGACAATATGCAACGCCGCATAAATTCCATGTTCAAAAAAAATAAAAAAAAATAAAACCTCCCATCCTTTGGCACCAAACAAATTATGCAATAGAAAGGAATAAAAAAAAGGGAAAATAAATAAGTCAAAAGTCTCCTGTCCTCCAGGAGACATGTACAACGCCTTGGCCAGAGCTCAATCTGGCCCATAATGCCTCGGCCATTTCATAAACGGTAATCCGCCAGAGACGGGGTATCAATAAGGGCCAATGAAGGCCACGTTTCTGTTTTGTGCTTGTATAATTCCATATTTTCTTGTGAAAAGACTCGATTGGAATTAATTTTTTTTTTGTAGTTTTTTTTTTTGCTTCGGGGCTTTGTCGATTTTTGTATTTGCTTTTTGGTTTGATCATGCGACTAATCATCCCATCCATCAACGCTCAGCTCGCCACAATCGGGCATGCTATCTTCAAGTTTGCTGCCGTAGATGGGCCGACCGTCGGGGGTAAGCTGTCCACGGAAGTCAGGGTCGAAATCTTGACTGGTCTCATCGAGGGTAGCGACGTAGCGGTTGCGACCACCCCGCTTGCTGTGGGTCTTAGTATAGTGGGCGTTTAGGTTATCGCTGCGAGAGAAGGCTCGGTGGCAGCCAGGAACCCAACAGACATGAGGCTTCTCCTTAGAATGGCTCTTCATGTGGCGCTTGAGGTGTTCCTGGCGCTTGAAACGCCCCTTGCAGCCAGGCTCCTTGCACTTGAATTGCACTTGCCTAATGATTGATGGCAAGTTCTCGAGGCTCAGGTTGGACCGAAGCAGCTGCTTCTTGGAGGATTTGCGCGAGGGTTGGCGGTGACGTTGCATCATGCCCTCGCGATAGACAGGAGAGAGCTGGAACTCTTCCTGATAATCATTGTGTCCGGACATGCGACTGACCGGGGTATCAGACCCCGAGGGAGTACCCATGGAGACGGATCGGTGGGGGGTAGAAGGAGTGTGGGACTTGAAGGTCGGGATGTTGGTTGGGAAGTCGGAGTAAGAAGAAGAAGGCGGGGTCACGGGTCCGGAAGGGAAGGGCTGGACCTGTGCGGGGGTGATGGTTTGAGGTACCAGGGACTCGTGGGATGGCATCCAGTGAAGCATATTGGTCATTGAGGCAGAGTTAGATATCCGCTCAGTGGGTTGGGTAAAGATTGGACGAGACAGGCAAGGGTTGGAGGCCGATTCAGGCAGATATCCAGCCTGCTGAGGACGGTGGTAGTAGTTGCGAGCCATCTGGTTGTACTGTGACATCGAGGCGTGGTACGGAAACTGAGGCTCCTGGTATGTCTTTGGCATATCCTGAGGAATCCACAGTTGGTCGACGTTCTCCTCGAATGCAGGAAGATAGTCAGGGACGGCCATCTGGTCCTGTCGGTCCATGTTACCACAGGGCATGTTCATCATGCCGTCGCCGGAAGTGAGATCGGCCATTCTGAATGCGCTGCGCAAAGGGGTAGCCGAAGTTCGACGCTCCATTGGAAGGCCGTGATGATAGTTGGGATGCTCGTGCCATCCGGGTGAAGCCATTGAGCCTTGGCTGTAGAGACTGGTAGGCGTGGGAGTCGGAGAGTCCAAAGGAGAGAAGCTCGAAGTCATCGAGGGGCAGTCACTTGGGCCCAGAGAATGGCAATCAACTTCAACAGTTAAACGATCAGAGATTTGCTGTCCGTGGGATCTCATGTCGTCCAGGTCTTCAGTTTTGAACGATTGAGATGGAACTGGGTTGATGGTATCACCTGCCCAGGAGGGTTTAGTAATTTGTATTGTTGTCTTTTTTTTTAATGTTTGTGTAAGAAGGAAAAGCGAAGTTCAGTGACAAGTGGAACGAGGGTCGACAATGAGGTAAAGAAATGATCAAAAGAAGGAAGTGACTATTAAAGAAAGGCAGGGATGGAAAGAGATAGAGGAAAAGGGAAGACAAGAGAATGTGTATTAGGTCCCGGAGTATAGGGAAAGGAAAGAATGTTCGAAAGCAAAGGGAATGGAGGACAAACGAGCAGAAATAAACAAATTGGTCGAGGATAGAATCCCGAAGGGTGGAGATCGGACTTACAGCTATACGCCATGGTCTAAGCTCAGACTGGAACTTTGGGCCAAAATTAGAGGCGCGTCGCGTGCTGGAGGTTCCAAGCAAGGCTAGGAATGTAGACTATGAGATCCTCCGTTACCGCGGCAAAGGCTCTAACGGCTGGATCTGGGCTGGGATCGACTGAAGTTCCTCGAGGGCCTGCAGGTTTGATCGATGTTTCGCGTTGTTTCGCGTCCAAATGAGACTGGAAATTTCCAAACTGGGATAATAGGATGGGCTGGTATGGAACACCACGAACAAGATAGGCGAAATATTGGTGTCAGTTGCCCTTTGACGCGGTTTAGGATGGGTGAGGGAAAGTGAGTGGTTGAAGGGGAGGCTGGTCTCAGATTGATAGGTTGTTATAGGTAGGGGGGTGTGTGTGTATATGTGTATATGGTTTTGAGGGGAGGGGAGATTATAAGTACAGCAAGGAGTTTTAAAGGGAAGGGTGTCTTAAAGAGTCCAGAAAATCAGTTGGTAAAGCAAGAAAGTAATGATCCACGGGGGAAGCTTGTTCCTGGTACCTTTTTGGGCTGAAGGTGCTGATTGAGAGTCTTGGATCGGCGGATTGATTGACATCCCTCACCTTTTCTTTTTTTTTTTCTTTTTCTTTTTTTTCTCTTTTTGGATAATAATATTATAATATTATATGGTTTCAATATTTTACCTAGGTAGGTATGATACTAAATAATCTTAAAATAATACTATGGAGTAATTAATCTTGAATAATCCTAACTTGGAAATATGAAAATTTGAAAATCTGAAAAGAAATATTTTAAATTCCTTTTTAGGATGACCCAGTATTCTGGTTATTCCTCTAGTTATTTATTTTTAATTCTTTAGTTCATGCATGATTATTCCAAGGTTCTCTCCAGTCAGCGTTCACGGGTGCTCGACTTGGAATGTCTAGGCTGTATCTCTTCGATTCCGTAAAATGTGAGCAGAGTCTATTTGGACATGCAGGTCGATCGCGTCCCCGGACTTTCTAGCCGTGTCGATCATGATGCACAAACCATCTAAGACCCTGATCTCCCCTCTCCACTAGAGGTCTCAGACGTAAACTTTGAATGCTAGCAAGAGGACTAAAAGGCGTAATTATACTGATGTAATTACTAACATTTTAACAGTATAAAATCATGCGATTATTGAGGAACTCGGAGATATCGCGAAAGAATAAACAAAAATTAATATTTTTCAAAAAAAATATGACCTCGCTCGGACGTATAGTGGAGGCTTGGACCGATCTCATCAGTACTTTTGCGATAGGTCAGACGTTGAACCACTTCGGGTCTGTGCAAACCTGGTTGATGCTGCATCTCTGGAGAGTAGTAATCTCAGATTCCAGAGCGTCCACATCCAACATTCCCCTATTTCTCCGCCTTATTACTTAGATATCGTCACTGGAGCATTGTTTTTTTATTATAAAAATATATACCTAGGTAAATTATCCTGCTTCCCATCTAAGTTTAGTCTTCCCCACTCCACTCCACCCAACCCATCGGCTGTACATCCATGGACCCAAGTAAGCCGTACATACCTACAGCGCTCCAGAACTACCCACAATAGGCCCAATCAACTTCATTATTTCGATCATGGAATGTGAGAATAAAAAAGACGGAGAGAAAAACAAAAAGAGCAAAGAACTGCAAGCCCCGGGGAACAACTAACATCCATCCCGCTGGGCCTAAAAAAAAAAAAAAGAAAAAAGAAAAAGCCACCAATCCGCCCCAACGGTTCGGATGGTGTCGGCCTACGCTGGCACTTGCGTCTGACCCATCACGCGTCAGTTGAGACCTGAATGATGGGATTATCCAGTTGAATGTGCACTTTGACTCTCAATTTGCGTGGCTTACAGAGGCAATAAGTTTCGCATTCTTCTTTGCTCGTTCCACGCCGTGACTCGTTTGAAACATACCCCGTCCAGATAGCGATCGGCCTCGAATGTTTGTCTTTGCAGGCAAAATCGCAACCAGTGCTCCATATTATAAGTCTTTTCTTTCACTATTTGTCTGTGTATCACATTGCACTTGCATCACCCAGTGGATCGAGATGAAACAGGCCTTATCTACTCTGTAGTACTAGCGTTAATAATCGAGTCTTTGATCTGAGCCATAAGGCTAAGCGAAATCGCTTAGAAATTGATTAAACTCCTTTTGGCATTGAGATTAGGTTTGAACTGGACCGAGTGGAAGTGCTCGGAGTACTCGGTCCGTACTGGGTGTCGAGCCCTGGAGGCTTTCTCTCGGCCCCTCTTTTTTTTGTCGATCGTTTTCACTTTGTCGATCTATGTACGGAGTTACTCCAGGGCGATACGGCTCTCTGTGTCTACTGTCAGATCTAGCCCCGAGGCCCCCCCACTCCAATCCCCTCTATTTCTTGCATCTTGACTATTTCCTCTCAATTCTTCACCATGCTTTATTGATACACCTGCATACTTATCCCCCATGAGCTCAAAAACCGGTTCGACACGCTTCTTCAAACCATATTGATAAGCTGCATTTATTCCTGCAATTGTTCAAGACTATTGTACTTTGTTTGAATCCCGAAAACCTGGAAGTGAACGAACCCCGCCAAGAAATAAACTAGTGGGGGTTGTCCCATGGATTCTCTAACTTGTAGGTTTCTGTTTAACTTTCCCCCAGGTTATATACTTCGTATGGAGTAGATGTAACGCTCCAATGTTATAACTTTTAGAATGGGTATATATAAAATATAGACTTTGGATGCTTGATATCTATAAAAACAAATCTGAGCAACTAATAGTTTGAGCTTCTCGATGATCAAATCCCTAACGCCCGGACCTGAATGCAGCAAGGGCGATTGAATCCCGAACCCAAAACCCGAAGGACGCCCCCCAAGATCTTTCGGCCCCTGCGTCTGAAGGGACAGCTTTCACCTACGTACATGGCTTTCCATCATCACGAACCCCCCCTCCCCCTAAATTCGTCTTTATGCTTTACTTTTAGACACTAGAGACCACTATCACCAATTACATGATCTTATTGCAGTTGGGCCGTATCTGAAACCCCCAGACCACTACCGAAGTATCCATCCAATCTACCCCACTCAAATGCCATGATCATCGACCCTAGAAAGTTTCGATAGTGGCTTTGCTTTCGTCGCATCAAGTCATACCTCAATTTGTACAGCCGCATTGGCCTAGCCATCCGCGCCACCGCGATCTCTGGTGGCTTATGAATGGAGTGTGGCTTATCTGGGGAGATCGTCAGGCGTCCGGGATTTCGTACATACCTCTGCTATCTGTGGCTACGGGATTTACAAGGATCTACGGCGTACATCTCGCCACCGCTGCTGACCATAGGATCTTCGCCTTCTGTGGTTTTGACGGGCCTTGTGAATATCCGGGATGACTGTGGCCAATTGAGCATTTCTGTTGTGTATGATCCCCTGTTGATCCCATTGCTTGGTTTCGGATGTGTGCCACCTGTGGCGACTGAAACAGATCATCTCTTTGTGCCGCGTAGGAGGCCTCTGTCGTGATAACTACATCCTTCAAGGTTACGTACTACCGTAGATTGATGCGCTCGGTACTCCGTACTAGACTAGATACTCGAAACTATGTTCTACCTCCACAAAAGTAATTCAAATCAAAGAGGTAGATCAGTCAACTCCCGCAGCGCAAATCCCAAATTAGCAAACCTTATCTGAGCTTAGGAATATGACTGCATTAGCACGATTTCTCCCTCTCAGGTACCAGGTACCCGGAACATACACAATAGAGCTGTCAACTTTTGTACTCTGCCCAGATTCTCCCCGGTTCTTCGAACGCTGTAGAACTCGGATTAGACTGCAGCCCAGATAGTTCAAGTCCAGATATGCCAGGTGATCAACAAGACATGCAAGCCTCCCTTCCAAGGCCATGATGACATTTTTTCCTATTCTGTCGTATATTGTCATAAATTTTACTACCTTTGTAAATGGGTGGACAGTTCATGCAATCCACCACTAGATCACGACCCGACATACTTGCCTGTATATTATACTACCTATTATTGTGTCTATTGTGTCTAGCCACTGATCGGTGATTGACATTGACATTCTTCGGTATGCACAACGCTCCTCCCGGGACTGTAATCCGGTGTGTGTCTGGGGGGCTGCAAGTGCTGCAAGTCCATCGAGTGCCACTGACGCAACTACGAATGTCCATTACTTGGTGTTGGCTGTTCAGCCTCCATTGCGAATCATGGTTTTGGTTTCTGATCTCATGCCAATACTTCCAGTTGAGTTCAATGTACATATTCTAATAAAGGTTATCATCTCCTGAAGCCAAAGCGCTTGACCACTCGTATGATAGGGGGCCGTGCTGGGACTGAATGTAAATGAATAAATGTATGTTTCGCCTCTCTCTCTCTCTCTCCAGCGATCGGCTGAATGGGTCAAAATAGAACCAAAATCCGGGAGCTGATCATTCGATGTCACCCGAGAGATTGTTGCTTAAATGAGTATTGATTCCCGAGCAATATGGGCTTCAGGGGAGTGAAACAATCATTATAAAATTCATAAACTGCAGTCAATGATTTATCTCATAGAACATTCGACATTCGGGGCCCTATTATGCAGGGACGAAATTGATCGGCCTATAGCAAGCAAGCATCAGAGATCGGGCCTGCAAAAGTGATCAATAGTACGAAGTACACAAAATAACATATACTACTCCGTACATAGGTACAGGATTATGCACAATCCCCAAAATGGTACCCCAAAATGGTACCTGGTTGGTCTTCTCGGTATTCTCTCGGCGTGCCCTGATCCCGTTTACCCCCGCCCTTCTCTCCCCCCTTACCTGTTGACTTTCTTTTTTCTCTTCACATAACGGTCTGTCGCTCACAAAGTCATTCGAAAAAAAAAAATTTAATTTTGCTTTTTTAATTCGAGTTTCCCTCCAATGAATACTCCACGTTGACTTGCATTGCATTGCCTTACATGACTTTATTCCCGGTTTCCAGGAACCATCTTTATTGTGGCAAAAAAAAA